ATATTTGAAATTTAAACAGATAAATTTTAAATATATATATTCATGTATTTAATAATGAATTCATTACATGTTGATATAAAATTTTGATAAAAGAATATGTTGTCTAAGACAAAAATACTTAAGAGAATAGCATTGTTTTTCATTTTTTGCAAATCTTTTTTAGTTTGTGTTGAAAGCTTCTTGAAGTGTTATTTTTGCTTCTTTGGAGATAATGCCTTTTTTCTCTGGTTCCTTTTAAGGTTTTCTGTCTTTGGATTTCTGGCATGATATGCCAAAATGTGGTTTCTGGGTATTTTTGTATTTTATATTTATTGAGTTTCTTAAATCTGTGGATTGATGCTTTTCAGAAGTTTGGAAAAGCCTTAGTCTATAGTGCCTCTAGTTTATTCATTCTTTTTATTTGATGCATTCTTTTTCTTTGGAGACCACAATTACATGTATGTTGTACCTTTTAACAGTGTTCCACACATCTTTTTAATTTTTTTCTGTTTTCTCTTTTTCTTTTTTTTCTCTGTGCTTCAGTTTGGATATTTTCTATCAACTTGTTTTGAATTTCTAATCCTGTCTTCTGTTCTAATAAGAATGGTGTTGAATACATTCAGAGTTTCTAGTGTCAAATATTGTATTTTTTTTAGTTCTAGAATGGAATTTTATTTCTTTTTATAGGTTATATTTTAAAATTGTAATTCTTTTATCTATTTTTATCCATCTGCTCTACTTTCTTTAACATATTAGTCATCGTTAGTTTATACTAGCAAAAGTATATTATTCCTCTGCATCAATTATCTTTGTTTTCTCTAGATTATCAATCTATATTCCTGACTTTTTACTATTTAATAATTTTTTATTTTTTATGTCTAAGTGTATGTTAAATGATTATAAATTTCTAGGTGATATCTTTTATCAGAATGGGCTTTCTAATTAAAACAAAATAACAACATGAAAACCTTGTACCGATAGGGTGAGGGTGCTGATGCAGTCAGTCATCAAGCTGGGCTTATATTTTTTTATAATATTATTAAGACCCCTGGTTTATTTCTATTATTTTCATGTGGTTCTCTTAAGCTTTTGGTTGGAGACTCAGAAGAGTCTTTTCAGCTGTGAAGACCCTTGGTAATTCAGTTCTTCCCCCCAACATAAGAAATTTGTGTTTAACTCTTTAGCTTCCTGCCCTTCATACCTTCACATTCTTGAAAATCTTCTGAGTTACGTGTTTAAAGCAAGCACCTTGCCTTTAGCAGAATTTTGTTTCCAACATACTGACTATGAGAGATTTCATGTTGGCTTTTAGATGCAGTTGGCCTAGTTCCCCAACTTTTTAAGCATGACTCAGAATATAAGTAAATGTGCCTTGAGGAAATTCAGCCTCCTGTTCGGGACACCACATGTCGGCACTTTGCTTTATAAAAGGAATATAACTGACCCCTTGAAAGCCTTGCTGGTTTGGTTCTCCTGGTAGAGTCCCTGAGGGTGGGCCAAACCTGATTCTCAGTCTGTAACTAAAATCAGTATAGGCTTCCCAAATTAGCAAATAACCCCTGAGAAGAAATTAGTGGGTCATTCTTTTGCCTACTTTGGAAGAGCTCTTATCCTTTGAAATTCTAATTCATCTTATCTTCTTGCTTCAACAAGCCCTCTCATATCTTGAAAAAGATAAATTTTGTAATTTATTCATTTTTTTTTTCTAGTTCTTGCAATGGAAGTTTTGGGCCGCTGCCACCTACTACATTTTATCTGGCAGAAGTTCCTATAAACAAGATTTCTCTGGTTCTTTCCAATTTTATTAGATTTAACCTTTGTTAAATAATTTCTTTTAAAAATTAATTTTATACTTATTACAAATACATTTCTTTTAATTCTGTGGCAGTTTTATAAATTAATTTGGATATGAATACATATTCATATTCTGATCATTGATTTTGTTGCTCTGTTTCTAAGCGTTATAAGTTTTATAATTTTTTTCACTCTCTTTTTTGGATCTCCTCTCTATTATTGTTTCTACCTCTTTGCCCTTCCTGCTGTCTAATTGTTATTGATTGCCTCCATCATTCCCCATCCCCAGTATGATCTAAATGAGGGCTAAAAATTGAGATATGAAGTTTCTACTCCAAGCTGATACTAGCGATTTTGCAAATTCAGTCACTGACCCATCATCTTTTTAGGTTTAGTTCCTGTCTTTATTGAGGCTAACTTTATGTGGTCCCTGCTGCTTCTTAAAAGCCACAGCCCTGGGTGGTAGTCAGCAGTGCTTTTTGTTTCATCTTTCTTTCATTATTAATAGGGCATGCCCTAGGTCTAGCTCCTTGTTCCAAGCAGTGAGCCTGAGTAGTCCTGTTGCTAGAAGTGGGAGAATTTGTATTCCCTTTACTTCCATCAGCAAATCTGCAGGTTGCCTTGAATATTTCCTTGGCAAACTAGAGATTTTTACACTTCTTTTCCATTTCTGATACTTTGATATGTTTATCTTATTCTTGAATGGCTAATTTTGCTTTTTATTTAGAATTCCATATTTTCCTGCTATGTTTTAACAAAGGGGGGACAGTTCATAAAAGCATGAAATTACTACACCTTAGTCCAAATTCAGGGACAAATTGTATTCTACATTTTGGCCAAACTCCTGAACTCATTTTAATTATCAATTTTACTTAATAGTTTTTTTATCCTGGTAAATACATAGATAATATTTGTTCCCTGATTAGAAGTATTAATTATATTGCCTGTTGTTTTTTTTTTTTTTCTCTTCTACTTTCTTTACCTTATTGGATGGGTAATTTTGTTCCTAAGAAAGGGAGGTCTAGGTTTGTTTTCCCAAAATAAGACAAGCTATATTGAGTAAGAATTGTTAGTGTTTTACTTTTTCTACTTCTCGTCTTATATAAAAACATTTTTAATACCTGGCTTTTGTAAGAATTTAATCATTTGTTTAATAAAGCGATAGGCAGATGTGTCAGCATGTACACCCCACCTATTTTAGAAAGTTTAGGTTCTAGGTGAAATTTAGCATCAAAACACATCTCATTACTATTTGGTGAAATTTAGCATCAACACATTATACATTTAGAGTTTACCTTCTAGGTAGTAATGAGATTTCAGGCTTCAGAATTCAGAATGGATAAACTGCTAATCTTACATATAATTTAAGTTTTTTAATCCCATAAATATCAAGGTAACTGGTAATAAATGTGGAAAAAAATATGGATACTTACAATTGAAAAGCATTAAATTGGAGGATATTTATGGTTAAAATCATAATTCTGCATTTAGCATAGTAGAAGGGGTAACCAAATAAAATGAAACTTGTGAGAGCAAGCTTCATATTTACAGAAAAAGTATTCTAATACATAACAGGTAATTAATTACAGATCCAAATTTAGTGAATTCAGGAGCTGTAGGTGATTAGACTCTAATGTTAATTATATAATAATTTCAGCAAAATTATTGCAAACACCTGCCATCTATTGAGTTTTCTGGAATTTCAATATTGAGATAAGTGATTTTTAGTAAAGGATTTGTAGCAAACAAACAGGAATTTTAATACCCTCAAGAAAGTGAAATTTGAAAAGTAGCATATTCAGTTAGAAGACCTTAAAAGTTACAATATTATTTCTTCCAGAAAAATATTTTCAGCTAATTCAATTGCTAAATATTTTCAGCTAATTCAGTTGCAAAAGTTAGCATCACTTGCCTGGTTTAGCCAAGTTTTAAGAACTTTGGTGTTTAATATTGGGCCTCACACTCTATCTTATACTCTTTGATATTTTCAGAAGCAATTTAACACATTAATCAAGAAGAGGAACTTTGAAATGAATAGAATTCTGTTTCTTCTTCTGCCATTTACTAGTTGTCTCACTTAGCAAGCTACTTACCCTCAAAACCCTTATTTCTTCATCAGTGAAATGGAAGTGATATTAGTATCTTAATTTACAGAATTTGAACAAGGGATAAATGGGTAAATCCATAGAGATTGTGCTTCTACATAGTCTAGGCATAAATGTCAGCTTGTGTCTTAGTCCATACAGGCTGCTGTAACAAAATGCAATAGACTAGGTAGCTTGTAAGCAACAGAATTTATTTCTTGTGATTCTGGATGCTGGAAAGTCCAAGTTCAAGATATGGGCAGATTTGAAGTCTGGTCACGTCCTGTTTCTTTGTTTGTAGATGACACCTTGCTGTGTTGTGTCATCACATGGTATAAAATGGATGAGCTGCCAGGCACGGTGGCTCATGCCTATAATCTCAGGACTTTGGGAGGCCGAGGTGGGTGGATCACAAGTTCAAGAGATCAAGACCACCCTGGTCAACATTGTAAAACCCTGTCTCTACTAAAAATACAAAAATTAGCTGGGCATGGTGGCATGTGGCTGTAATCCCGGCTACTCGGGACGCTGAGGCAGGAGAATTGCTTGAACCTGGAAAGCAGAGGTTGCAGTGAGCTGAGATCGCGCCACTGCACTCCAGCCTGGTGACAGAGCGAGACTTCGTCTCTCAAAAAAAAAGGGATGAGCTAGCTTTCTGGTGTCTTTTACAGAACATTAATCACTTTCATGAAGTTTTTGCCCTCACGACTTAATTGCCTCCTACAGGCCCTGCCTCTTATACCATCATCTTGGAGGTTAGGATTTTAACATGAATATTGGGAGGGACTCAAACATTTAAGCATAGCAGGATGATTATGTTTATTTTCCATTTTTATATTTAGCTTGACTTCCTGAGGAAGAAAATTAATCAACATACATTACACATGTTTCTGATTTAAAAGACAAATGCATTACATCCCCCGAATCATTACCTCCCTCCAGAAAGCAAAATTGCTCTAAAATATCTACCAATTAAGTCACCTTCCAAATATGTATTTCAGTGTCTTTATGTTGAGTGTTTAGTACTTGAGAGTTTTGGTTCATTATCTACTTCTGAATGCAGAGCAACTTGAATTAATACAGGTTGAGTATCCCTTATCCAGAATGTATGGGATCAGAATGATTCAGATCGGGATATACATATTTGCAATTTTGGAATATTCTCATATACATTATGAGAGATCTTGGGAATGGGACCTAAGTCTAAACATGAAAGTCATTTATGTCTCATCCATACTTTATACCTATAGCCTGAAGGTAATTTTATTTTTCCCTTGGGAACGCAAAAAAACTGTGTGTGATGTGCCTGCGTTTTGACTTTGGCTTGTCCCATGACATGAGGTATGGAATTTTCCACTTGTGTTATGTCAGTGCTCAAAAAGCATCAGACTTTGGAGTATTTTGGATTTTGATTTCAGATTTTTGGAAGAGGAATGCTCAACTTGTGTACTGCTTTCAAGTAGAAATCAGTGATCAGTAATTTTGGATTTCTGTTGCATGAGTTTTCTCTTCCACTGTCATTTTAGGACCTTTCACTAGAGGCACACAGTTTTTCCTAGAGAAAAGTGTATTTTTCATTCATATTGTACTATTTGTAGGAGACTCATAAAGGGCCAGGGGGAGAGAATTACATGAGACATCAGTAAGTTTAAGTGTATTGTTTAGAGCAGAAATGGGAAATCCCTCCTACAAACTTTGTTTCACTAATGTTACACTGATCATAACCCAAAGAAATAATTTCTTGAACTTTAATATCTTCAGAGAGTTAAAAATGTAAGTATTCTTCTTTTTTAAAACCAGTGGATAACAAAACAAGTACAGAATAACGTGATAATATTCTGAATCATAACAGAAAGTGGGGAATTGCTGCCCCATTTATAATTCAAACCATGGAGCCTCTTTCTCTATTTCTTTCTATTCTAGTTTTTTTGTTTGTTTGTTTGTTTTTTAACTGTACTTTAGGTTCTGGAGTACCTATGCAGATGATGCAGGATTGTTGCATAGGTACATACATGGCAAGGTGGTTTGCTGCCTTCATCCCCCCATCACCTATATCTGGTATTTCTCCCCTCATTATTCCTCTCCAGCCCCGCTGTCCCTACCTGAGCCCCTCCCACTGTCTGCAGTGTGTGATGCTCCCCTCCCTGTGTCCAAATTTTCTAATTGTTCAACACCCGCCTATGAGTGATAACAAACGGTGTTTGGTTTTCTGTTCTTGTGTCAGTTTGCTGAGAATGATAGTTTCCAGATTCATCTACGTCCCTATGAAGGTCATGAACTCATCATTTTTTATGGCTGCATACTATTCCACGGTGTATATGTGCCACATTTTCTTTATCCATTCTATCGATGATGGACATTTGCATTGGTTCCAGGTTTTTGCTATTGTAAACAGTGCTGCAGTGAACATAAGTGTGCATGTGTCTTTATTATAGAACAATTTATAATTCCTTGGGTATATACCCAGTAATGGGATTGCTGGGTCAAATGATATTTCTAGTTCTAGGTCCTTGAGGAATCACCCTACTGTCTTCCACAATGGTTGAACTAATTTATACTCTAACAGTGTAAAAGTGTTCCTATTTCTCCACATCCTCTCCAGCATCTGTTGTCTCCAGATTTTTTAATGATTGCCATGCTAACTTGTGTGAGATGGTATCTCAATATGGTTTTTATTTGCATTTCTCTAATGACCAGTGATGATGAGCCTTTTTTCATATGTTTGTTGGCCTCATCAGTGTCTTCTTTGTAAAGTGTCTGTTCATATCCTTTGCCCACTTTTGGATGGGTTTTTTTTTTTTTTTTTCTTGTAAATCTGTTATAGTTCTTTGTAGATTCTGGATATTAGCCCTTTGTCAGATGGGTAGATTGCAAAAATTTTTTCCCATTCTCTTGGTTGCCAGTTCTCTTTAATGATTGTTTCCTTTGCTGTACAGAAGCTCTGGAGTTTAATTAGATCCCATTTGTCTATTTTGGCTTTTGTTGCCATTGCTTTTGGTGTTTTAGCCATGAAGTCCTTGCCTATGCCTATGTCCTGAATAGGTTTTGCCTAGGTTTTCTGCTAGGGTTTTTATGGTGTTAGGTCTTATGTTTAGATCTTTAATCCATCTGGAGTTAATTTTAGTGTAAGGTGTCAGGAAGGGGTCCAGTTTCTGCTTTCTGCACACTGCTAGCCAGTTTTCCCAACACCATTTATTAAACGGGGAATCCTTTCCCCATTGCTTGTTTTTGTCAAGTTTCTCGAAGATCAGATGGTTGTAGATGTGTGGCATTGCCTCCAAGGCCTCTATTCTGTTCCATTGGTCTATGTTTCTGTTTTGTTACCAGTACCATGCTGTTTTGATTACTGTAGCCTTGTAGTATAGTTTGCAGTCAGGCAGCATAATGCCTCCAGCTTTGTTCTTTTTGCTTAGGATTGTTTTGGTTATGTGGGCTCTCTTTGGTTCCATATGAAGTTTGAAGTGGTTTTTTCTGGTTCTGTGAAGAAGGTCATTGGTAGCTTCATGGGGATAATGTTGAATCTTTAAATTACTTTGGGCAGTATGGCCATTTTCATGATGTTGATTCTTCCCAACCATGAGCATGGGATGTTTTTCCATGTGTTTTTGTCCTCTCTGATTTCGTTGAGTGATGGTTTGTAGTCCTCCTTGAAGGGGTCCTTTACATCCTTTGTTAGTTGTATTTCTAGGTATTTTATTCTCTTTGTAACAGTTGTGAATGGGAGTTCACTTTTGATTTGGCTCTGTCTTTGTCTGTTGTTGGTGTATAGAAATGCTTGTGATTTCTGCACATTGATTTTGTATCCTGAGACTTTGCTGAAGTTTCTTATCCGTTTAAGGAGATTTTGAGTTGAGACGATGGAGTCTTCTAAATATACAATCATGTCATCTGCAAAAAGAGACAATTTGGCTTCCTCTTTTCCTAATTGAATACTCTATTTCTTTTTCTTGCCTGATTGCTCTGGCTAGAACTTCCAATACTATATTGAATAGGAGTGGTGAGAGAGGGCATCCTTTGATGTCATCTTTCCTAGTTTTTTTATTCCTCTCTGAGTACTATTTGATTATTTTTCCTGATATTCCTCTATTATTTACTCTTAAGGCCATAACAAGGAGAATATGCTATATTTATTGAGTTAATTTATGCCTATACTATTCAATAGAAAGTATAAGTGAGTCAAACAGTGTATCTGAAAAATACAAATTTGTTTGGGGTACATGAGTCACAATCGATTCTTTCTTCTTTCTATACTTGGTCTTGCTCTCTCTCACACAGTCAGTGGCCTTAAAGAAATATAACTGTCCTGTTCACCCCAAACTTACAGTAGAGTGTTCTGGTAGTATTATTTTATTAAAAATTATAAGAATGGTTTAACAGCATCCCAAGAGTGGGGAGATAGATGTTAAAGCCTACAGCGGTTAATTACAGTAAACCATGCATGGTCTTCTTTTAATTTTTTAAGGTAATGCTTTAATATGTAATGATAATGCTATTTATTTTAAATAACTGATTATTTTATTGTATTGTCGTATTTTTAATTACTAGTATCTATTTTGTCTAGCTTCTTAGTTGGAAGTGTACTTTTTTTGGGAAGTGCTCTTACTGACATGAAAATGAACCTGTGATAAATATTTAAAAAGACTTTTCTCAGAAGATGTACTCCCTCTCCTCAAAGGTTAGATGATAACTTATGTAATGCATCTTAATCTTAAGATCAGTTATCAAGAGTATAGGAAATGAGGCAATTGTGTGTTGCCATTTTTCTGGAAGCTGGGATTTCAAAGATGGTATATAAATATTTCTCTAGTTTTACAGAAGTCAAAGAAAGATGTTGAGTCCTCATTGTTATTCCTGAGTGACAGTAACAGTTTTTGCCACATTTTGGCATATTGCAAATGTCCCTGCATTTGAAAGGTATTCCTCTCTTAATGACACATGAATTTTTTATTTGTTTTTGCATAACTCTAGCATTTCCTTTGGTAGCAGTTTAATTTGCTTCTTTCTAGAGCCCCAACCAAAAAAATCATACACAGACTTTTATCTAGTACTTTGAAGTATGGTAAGAATACACTAATACTGCAAAAATGGATTGGAAGATATAAATAAATGTTTTGTAGGTATAAGTAACCTATATAAAGGGAAATTTTTGTAGTAAGCCCTGTATTATGATCCTCTAGAGAAACAGAGGAGATATCTCTCTCTCTCCCTCTCTTTCTCTCTCTCTATTTATATATATATACATATATATATATATATAAATCTATATATATACATATCTTCTGTCTATATATATATAGATTTATATATTTATATAAATATATTTATAAAATATAATATATATAATAATATATTTGGCTCACACAATTTTGGGGCTAAGAAATCCTAAGACCTGTAGTCAGCAAGCTGCAAACCCAGGAGAGCCACTAGTTTTATTTCAGTGGAGTCCAGCGGCCTGAGAATCAGGTGAGCTAATGGTGTAAATTCCAGTATGAAAGCCCGCAGTCTCAAGACTCAAAAGGAGCTGTTTTTTCATGTCCAAAGACAGAAAAAGACTGATGTCCCACCTCATGCAGTCAGGAGGAAGGGTTAGCCTTTTGTTGTATTCAAGCTTTGACTGGATGAAGGCACCACCACACATTAGAAAGGAATATCTGCTTTACTCAATCTACCCATTCAAATGTCAATTTCATCCAGAAACACTCTCACAGACATACCTAGATTAATATTTGACCAAATGTCTGGGCACCCTGTGGCCCAGTCAAGTTGGCACATAAAGTGAACCATCACAAGCACCTAGGAACTAAATGCAAGCCAACAATGAGCCCTTGTTTTTGTTTAAAATTTTAAAGGCATGAGACTGGAATGAATAAGCACTGATCTGTATACCAATAATGAAGTAAACCCATTTATTCATTCATTCCATAAATATTTATAAATCATCCACTTTGTGTGAAGTTCTGTGTTAGCTGCTAGAAATGCAGTGGTGAATAATATATGGTTCCTTCTCTTTCAAAGTTTTTGAAACTGGATGCTAAACTACCAATTCCTTAGTTACTTGATTAATTACAGTTGTTATAAGGGCTTTCATGGATGTTGTAGGAGTGTATACATAAAGAATGTTACCTAGTTTGGGTTGTCGGGTAAGGAATGTAGTCAGGAAAGACCTTTCTGAATTAGTGGTATTTGAGCTGATTTCTAAAGGATAATAAAAACCTTGAAATGAGGAGGGGTGAAAATTATGACAGGAAAGAGATGAGCATGTATAAGTGTTCTAAGGCCAAAGGGAGGATCTACTTAAAGAACTAAGAGCAAGGCTGATAAGGTTAGAGAAATTGGTAAGATGCCAATTTTTGATCAGATCCTGGAAAATAGAATCCTATAGTTTGATTCAGCATCCTGCTAGGTCTACATGGGCCTCAGTGACTTCACTGCTAACGATCTGATCTAAGAGCATTGGTCTGTTCAGAAGAACCTCAAAGGACCAACAGGAAAGAGGACAACTGAGTAACAATGACTTGCCCAATATTACACATATGAAGGACACAGTCTCCTGAGTTTTGAATATTCAGACTTCCCTGGTATATACCAAGCCATGTCTTTTGTGTTTCAGAGAAATGTTAACAAGTAATAATTTTGCATTAATTTTAGTTTTCATACATTAAAATTTGCTGTTTGTAGAGCACAGTTTTATAATTTTCATAGATGCATGGAATTGTGTCACAGAGCAGTTCCATCATGCCAGCAATTCCTACTTGCTATCCTTTATAGTAAACTCCTTCCTGTAGTCCAACGTATGGCAACCACTGATGTAAATTTTATTCCTATAATATTCTTCTATGTGTCATATAAACGCAATAGCATGTGCAGCCTTGGAACTGGGTTCTTTCACTTAGAAAATTCATTTAGGATTTATCCATGCTGTTACGTGAACCAATAGTAGTTTTTTGTTTGTTTGTTTCTTTTATGACTGAGTTATATTCTGTTGTATGGATATGCCACAGTTAGTTTATCCCTTCACCAGTAGAAGAACCTGTAGACTGTTTCTAATTTGGGGGATTGTAAATAAAGCTGCTGTGCTGTAACATTTATGTACAGATTTTTGTGTGGCCATACATTTTCAGTTCCCTTTGGTAAATACTTAGAAGTGGGATTGCTGGGTCATGTGGTAGGTGTATATTTAACTTTTTTAGAAATGTACCAGACTTTTCTAAAGTGGTTGTACCTTTGTCATTGCTCTGCAGCAGCACTTGGTGTTGTCAGGGGTTTTGCTTATTTACCGAATTCTAATAGGTGTCTAGTGGTATTACACTGTGGTTTTAATATGAACTTCTCTAACAACTAATGATGTTGAGCATGTTTTTATGTTTATTTGACACTCCACTATCTTCCTCTCTAAAGTGTCTATTTCAATCTTCTGCCCATTTAACATTTTTTTTTGTTTTCTTATTTTGAGAGTTCTGTATGTATTCTGAATAAGAGTCCTTAGTCAGAAATTTCCTTTACATATATTTCCTGCCAGTCTTCAGCTTGTCTTTTCATTATCTTAACAGTATCTAATAGCTATAGCTAATTTTGATAAAGTCAAATTTTCAATTTTTTTTTTTCCTTTATGGATTCTGCTTTTGGTGAAGTGTTTAAAAAGTCCTTCCCTAACTCAGTATTACAAAGATTTTTCTCCTAAAAGTTTTACCGTTTTATGTTTTACACTTAAGTTTATGATCTGTTTTGAGTACATTCTTCTATGATGGGGTAAGATGAGTATTAAAGTTCATCTTTTTTTGCATTTGGACATCTAGCTGTCATTGTTTGTTCAGCATCATTTGTTGAAAAAAAAACTTGCCTTTCTCAGTTGAATTACCCTGGCAATCTTGTGAAAAATCATGTTCTTGTATATATGCTGATCTGTTTCCAGAAATTTCTATGTATCTGTCGTTAACAAATATATAACATACTGTCTTGATTGCACTAGTTTAATGGTAAATCTTAAAAATTGGGTAGTGTGAGTCCTTCAACTTTGTTTTTCTCTTTCAGAATTATTTCTGTTATTTTAGTATTTTATAATTATTTTTTGAAGCCACATATCTTATGTAAAACAACTGGAACATAATAGTCTTTACCTGGAAACAGGCCTACGTTTTGTTTTCTGCAGGAGGCTTTAATGTGGAAGAGAGGTGAGTTAATCTAGTCAGGAGTCATGAAATTTGATATGTGTTGTTGCTGTGGGTACCCTCAGTGCACCTCTGACTTCAAATCTTCTAATAATAGGTTGTATTTAGGTCAGGGGCTGATTTTCCAGGTGGATTTTATCAATATCTACTCTACCTTCAGCTCTCAAATTCTTCTCTTCTGCAAGTCTCAGTAGTGAGGGCAGAAAATGGGGACATTATCTGTTTTTCTGATTAAGATGATGTATACCCCTTGACCTGGGGTGAGGTCTTCTGATCCTGCCCATCCCCTTGCTGTAGGCTGCTGTGGGTTTTCATTAGTTCCTCAAAGACAAGTAACTCTTACTCCTCCCCACCCATTCCTTATTAAGGCTTTTACATAGGGGTCATATGGGAGAGGAGCCTAAAAAAAATGGGGGCAGGGTTTCATTCCCTACCTTTACCAGGGTGGTTGCTATATTTTTTGAAGCCCTAAGGTGTCAGTAGAAGAGTTAGCAAGAGAGTGTGAATGCTCTTTATCAGTGGCTCTGGGGGCTCCACATTCTGTCTGTAGTTCACACTGTTTCTCCCTCCAGCTCTCTGAGGTGTTTTGTTGAAAGGCTAGGAGGGACATTCTTCCTAATACTCTATGTCTGAACAAGTGAGGAAGAAAGTGAGCTGAAACCTGGTGTTTCAAAGAAACAATTTTAACTCTAAAGACACTTTGGACATGTTCAATCTGTTCATCTATCTAATAGTATATTCCTTATAATTTATTTATAGTAGCTTTAAAAGCTCATTAACCTCCTAAGAAAAAGTCAGTAAGTAAATTCATTGTATCAAATAAAATGAACAGTGGATGTCTTTCATTTCAGAATTTCAGCTGCCTTTCTGCCAGGAAATCAAAAGTGTCACCACAAAAAGGATAACTATGTGAAGTAATACACATGTTAATTTGTTAGAATTAGGCCTTCCTCAATGTATATCCACTTCAAAACGTCATGTTATACATGGTAAATACTTACAATTTTATCTGTCACTTTTTTTAAAACATTAAGTAAATTAATCAATAAAAGGCTAGCTATAGAAGGCATTACTCATATTCAAGACAATTGAAAATGGGGGAAAAACTAACTCAAGGATTTTAAATTGAATTAATAAAAATATTAAGAATGTAACAAATATTGGCTCAATATTAAGATAAGAAAGGTAAGACAGTTAAGATATGCATATAAAGTCAAACCCTGTATCATACTGTTGCTTTTAAATACAGTGTTATCTTTATGGCTGTGATAACCGAGTGTCACTACATTATCTCATTTGGAATAATAATAACAATATACATGTGTACAAATATTCACAAACACAGGAAAGTCTGTTTTAGACTGTCTAAATTATTTATGCTTTGTGTACACATACTTCGGGTTTTCATTTACAAACGATACAATGTAATCTAACAGAAAAATGTGAATTTGTGTGTCACTCGGTATAGATATCCCCAAATAGGTGCTTTTGAAATAATTGAAAGGGAACTTAAATATGGGAATTCTGAGTTTAGTAAATTTTAACCCTTTGTTTTAAAGTAACAAAACTTTTTCCCATCAAGTATCATTCATTCATGAAGCAAATTTATTGAGTGTTTATGTTGTGCTAAAAGTGGTTTCGAGTGCTGGGAAACTGAACAGTGCACAAGACAGGCATAGTTCCTGCCCTCTTGGAGCCTACATTATGACCAAGGAGATGTGGAGGTGTGCAAGAACTTCAATCCTAGCCTTTTAACAAAAGAAGTACAGAAATAACACAATAAGTTAATCTAAGAATGTAATAAATGCTACAAAGAAACAATTGCAGGAACAGTAATGGCGATGAGGGCGGCTTAAGATATGGTGGTCAGAGAAGGCTTCTTTCAGGAGTAAAATTTGTGCTGAAACCTGAAGGGTAACAAGTACTGCCTTGGGGAGGGAGCTTTCTTGGCAGAGAGAGTAGCAAGGCCTTCAGTGGAAAAAGCTCAATGTTCGAAATAGGTCCTGAATGGTGAAAAAATAAAAAACAAAAAAAAGACAACTTGGTGTTAAAACAGAAAGGAAGACAACGTACTAAAATGAAAGGGAGGACTTAGGAATGAATCCTATCTGCTTTTAACATGACTAAGACCATTTAAATAGTCCTGGGAAATAGCTTCAAGGCAAGAAAGTGAATCAAAAGCCCTGTGTATTTTGAAACTATGAGAGACCTGTAATCCCAAATCTCAATATAATGTGAAAGTTAGTACCAACCTGAGATGCAAAGCTGGCAGACCATTATTGGTTCAAATAAGTGCATACTCTGATGAGTATCAAAAGGACAAAAGCTCTCATTTGATCCCAGGGATCTAAGTTATAGACTTATGCTAGAAGTTTCCTGGACCCAGGTAAGCATATAGAAAGAATGAAGAGGGCAGGGCAGAATGAGTCACACAGATGAGCCACGTGTATGGGGAGGAAGGTATTGAGGGAGGGGGTGCAGTAAGAAACTCTACTGGTAGTTGTGTACATCCCCACAGCTTTTGATCTTAATTGGCTTGGGGGGAGTCGAAGCTCAAATTATTTATACCTGTAACTCTGATGCATAAGGAGACTTCTCGCCAGCCTGGACACTGCATATACTCGACTTTTAGTTGCTGATCCAGAAAGAATTTACTCAAAAAGAGCTATCACAAGATACATCAAATATGTCCCAAGAACAAATGGGGAAGGAATGTGAAGCATAAGAAACACCATAAAAAATGTTTCCATCTAACAAAAAGAAATCTGTCACCAAATATATTGCCTTAAATGAAAACATAATTAATGAGTGATTGCTCGAGTTAAACAGTTGCATGAAGCAGATATATAAGTGCTTGGAAAAGAGTTTATAAAACAGAATGAGATGGAACATAGCAAAAATGTTTTCTTATAATCACTGAATTGGGAAATTTCCTTAGAAATGTGACATAAAACTTAGATGTTGTAAAAGGAAAAAAATAAAGACTGATATGTTACCTATTAAAAAAAAAAAAGAAGAAATTACTCATGTCCAAAAAAAGCCTTTTAAAAAGTCAAAAGAAAAATGATAAATGGTGGAAAACATTTGTATTACATATAACAAACAATTTCGGATTTTTTGTTTGCTTGTTTGTTTGTTTGTTTGGAGTCAGAGTCTTACTCTGTTGGCCAGGCTGGAGTGAAGTGACACTATCTCAATTTCTTAACACTTAAAGAGTGCCAATACGAGAAAAATTAGCAGTCTTTTGGGAAATGGGTAAAATATATGAAAACACAATTTGAAGAAAAAGAAATATGATTCCTAGGTACATGTGACTATGATTGCCCTTATGGTAAGGAATTATAAATTAAAAGCATAAAAAGATACATAAATGAAAGGATATGTTCTTGAATTCAATAATAGAGAAAGTTAGCCTAATTTATTACATTTCAAAATAGCTAGAAAAGAAGAATTGTAATGTTCTCAATACAAAGAAAAGGTAAATGTTTGTATTGATAGGTGTCCCAATTACCCTGATTTGATTAATACACATTGCATGTAGGTATCGAAATATGACATGTACCCCCAAAATATGTACAACTCATATATATTGTAATACATAGTTTATAATATTAATATATGTATTATATAGGGTTTTTAAAAATATAATGAGGATGCCATTTTTCACCTAGCTATAGAAAAAGTAAATAAAATTAATCACTATTATGGAGGGGCTAGGAAAACACCTACTGTTACACAGCTGTTGGCTATGTGTGTGTAGATATATATATACACACACATTAAATATATATGTCTGTGATAAATATGTACACACATTACATATATGAGTGTGTATATATATATATATATACACACACATTACTTGTGTGTTCATATATATGTATACATATAATTCATAAGGAGAGCATCACTTTGGCAATATCTGTTAAAATATAAATGAAGGTGTCCCTTAATCTAACAAATTTATTCCTAGCAATATATCCTACTGATACACATTACAAAATTACGTGGACAAAATATGATAGATTTAAACTATCATATCAACAATTACATTAAATGTAAATTATAAATATCTTAATTAAATGGTAGAATTTGACTGGATAAAAATACATCTAATTATATGTTGCCTATAACAATTACACTTCACATATAAAGAGGCAAATAGCTTAAATATAAAAGAATAAAAAGGTATATACCCTGCTAACCCTAATGAAAAGAAAGGTGGTGTGCCTACATTTATATCAGACAAAGTGGATTTTGGAAAAAAGAATATTACCAGGTATAAAGAGAGTCATTTCCTAATGATAAAGGGGCCAATTTCTCAAGAGGATATAACAGTCATAATATTTGTACCCCTTATAACAGAACTTCAGAATATAGGAAGCAAAACTTAACACTATTTTAAGAAGTACACACTTATATTCAAATATTTTATCACTCCCTTTTTAACAATCCATAGAGTAAATAAACCAAAAGTCAGCTAGTACACAGGACACTTGGACAATACTGTTACCAAATGAGCCTAATTGTCATTTACAGAACAGTCTGCCCAGCAACAATAGTATATACGTTCTTTTTAAGTGGAAACATAGCATTTGCTAGGATAGATATATTCTGGGCCATAAAATAAGTCACAATAAATTTGAAGCTGTGAAAGTTACACAAAACATGTTACCTGATATAATTGTATTAAACTGTGATGATAACACAGTAACTTAAAGATAATTGGGACATTCCCAATTATTTGAAAGCTCTATAACTCACTTCTAAATAATGGATGTTTTACAGAAGAAATCAAAGGGAAAGTATTTTGAAGTGGATGATACTGAAAATGCTTAGAGGGAAATTAACATCATTAAAGGATTATTAGAGGAGAAGAAAAGTATGAAAAATCACTTTAATTTCCACTATAAGAAATAAGGTAAAGGAAGAGCAAATATCCTGGAATAGGCAAAAGACAGGACATAATCACTAAATCCTGTTAATATTACCAAATTTCTTTCAAATCTGTCTACTTTATGCTATCCCCATTGCTACTAATTTATAATATACTTTCTAATATTGGTAATGGTTAGTCAGTGGACCATAGTGGGTAAGAGTATAGACTAGGGTAACCCCAACTATGATGTGCCCAGGACTAGGGAAGGAGGAGATTAGCAGGAGGTGGGGCTGGGTCCTGAGACCCAGTGCTTAAAACTGGGAAAGTCCCAGGCAAACCCAGATGGATGGTCCCCGCTGTGTAGGTTCTGGAACCAGACCTTGGACTTGAATGCCTTTCTTTTCACTTACAACAAGTGGCTGATCCTTTGTTCTTGATTACCTCTCCTGGAAATGAGTATTATAATAGTACCCATCTTAAAGAATTAATGTGAGAATCAGATAAGTTAATGAATGTGTGAAGTACTTAAAGCATATAGAGCACTGAATTAATGTTGGCAGCGATGGCATTGGTGATAGTGGTAGTTCTGATGGAGATTTATCTTTTTCTAAGTTCTAAGCATTGGCCTCATATCTCACTCTTTTCTTCCAGACTTAACCTACATCAAATTTTCCTTCACATATACCAGAGTTATCTCTCTAAACTACAATATAAACATACCAATTTTCTGCTTAAAATATTTCAGTGGTTCCTTAGTACCCTTAGGGCAAAGCCCACATTTCATATTAAAACCCAGCATTTACTCGTTTTCATGATTCTCATGATTCTTTCTTCTGTACCTCACTGGTTTGTCTCCTCTTAAAGCCTT